CACAAACAATGGTATCAGAAAGATTGTTACACACCATATGCATAGTGAATGGGCAGTTTCAGTGTCCAAGCCAAGTTATTTCTTCCCCTGCTCCAGTTATACCTTGCTTGCTTTCTTCCAAGTCCAATATCTCTTCAAAATATTATTTCAGAACCAGAAATACAAGTACCTAAATGATTAAACAGAAGCCAAATGGGCAGCAGATAGCAACAGTCAGGGGCTGATTGAAAGCCCACTGAAGTCTATGACAAAAATTTCTTGGAAAGAAATTCATTTCCCAAAGTTACTGGTCAGTGCCGCCACTGTCAAGACATGAATAAAGGTGACTATTTAAGAGGTTATTGGATTATACTTCTGTCACTTGGGACCCATAACCTGGATGTCATCTTCAATTCTAGGTATCCAGACATCCAGAGTATGTCTAAATGTTGCAGATTTTTTTTTTTTTTTTTTTTTTTTTGCAGAACACCTCTAAGACATGGCCTTTTCTATCCATCCACACAGCTAAAACTTATCCAGGCTCTCATCCCCTCATGACTTGATTACTGCAACATCCTTTTCTCTGGCATGGTGGGATGATCTCCTGGGGTACCCAGAATTGTGAGTTACTGTGTTACCGCTCTCAGCCTCAGCAAGTGAGAGCTTTGCCACTGCTAAGCTACAAGTCAGTTCCCTGACACACCTACTTGTCCAAACCTTGCGTAGCAGGTAACAATTAGTAAATCCCAAATACTAAATTCCTCAGAGAAATCTTTCTGCCATGCACAGCTCCTTCTTACTGTAACATTCACAAAACCTTATCAAATTTGTCGCTCTGTTGAAGAGACAGTACACAGCAGCTTATTACCTTACCTGGGGTTAACAAACACTCTATCTCAATCAAAGCACTGAGTTAGTTATAGTAAAAGTAAATTTCATTAAAAAGACATAGATTTAAGTGATATCAAGCATAAGGAAGAATGATAGAAATGGGTACAAGCCAACAAAAACAAGAATGTTTCTAAGACTTCAGTATAACTTTGTCCTTTGTTCAAAGATGTTTTTCTTACCATTTGTCCAACATGGCTGACCAGTTTTTAGCCAGGATCCTTCACAGAGCTCAAAGTCTTTGGTTTCTTTGTTTCCTCATGTGAAGGATAACTTAGGAGTTGGCGCCTCCTTTCATGATAGCCCAGTAAACCTTTGAATTGTATTCTCTTGAAGGGTATCCCCGTATAAAGTTCCTTTCCCCTGCCGGGTGTAGACACCTTGCTGGTTCCTCCCCCACTGATTATTTTTACAATGCTAATGATCTGATCCTGCAACCTCTGATACAAATGAATAGCCCATTGAACTTATCCACACATGGTCTGAGATGTTGGCCTCTTTTCTTTGTCTGGAGAAAACTTATTTATTAATTCCCTCTAATCTGTCTGGTTCAAATACATTTTAGTCACGTATTTACAGCACATCTGTGAAGTTCTTTGTGGTTAACTTTACATGCATCACATAAGAATATTACTGATTAGTGAGTTATTAGTTTTCCAGTGAGATGTTACATGCCACTTTTTGGGTATATATCATGATAACAGTGCACCATCTGGCACTGGGGTACTCTTAAGATCACACCTTGACAAAGAGAAGCTTGCCTGCTCATATTTACTCAGATTGCTGCAGCAAAGATCATTTTTGTAGCCCATCACTTTGATCATGTCCTCTCTCTCTGTGTTCCTCTTCTGTCTGCCCTTCTCTATTGCATCAACTATCTGCTGCCTATTTTCATTTTCAAGCTCCTTTGTGGCCTATCCCCACCTTTCCTATCATCTCTCATTCACTATCAAAATGCTGACTCCAGCCTCCATCACCCACCTGTCACATTTTCAAACAAGCACCTTTATGCTTTCTCCCATGCAACCCCTCACGCTTGGGAGGAGCTCCCCATAAACATCCACAAAGATACTTCATTATCTTCCTTCAAATCCCTCCTTAAACACTCCTTTGCTCTAATGCCTACAAAAAACTTGACAAGAGTTAAGTTGCTGGTGCCCTGATACCACTGTCGATCAGGTGGGAAAAGGGCATTTTTTTTATTCCAATAGAAAAATCCCGACCAGCTCTAATCATAGGTACTTATATGGCCCCCATTACCATGGTATCTGAACGCCTCGCAATCTTTAGTGTATTTATCCTCACAACACCTCTGTGAGGTAGGGAAGTGCTATAGCGAACCAAGGTACAAAGATAAGTGGTCCCACAGGAAGTCTGTGGCAGAACATGGAGTCCCAGGTTAGCACCCTAATTATAGGATCATCTTTCCTCAACTGTACATACTTCAAGCCCTCAATGCACTTTTCTTCCTTTCAGGTCTCCTAAGCTACAGCCAGCGTGTTCTCTCAGAGACCATCGCTCTGGTTGTGTTGCCTTAATCTACCCACACAGTCAACAGCCCCCTTGAGTTTAGGTTGCCACATACACCTTCCTGGCACATACAATGTTGCCCGCCCATTTCCCCACAAAGTCATTATTATCCATCCAGTGGCCTCTGTTCGGGTCCAATCCAGTCTGACACTTCTGGGCAGAGTGTCTCTGGTCCAGCCAGTATGCTGTTCTGGCTGCCTCTAAAATGCGAGACAGTTGTTGGGTGTCAGCTGATGCTGGTGAGGCAGGAAAAGCCTCCCCTGTCCTGAAGGGATAACAGGTCCCGTGCCCTAGAGCAGGGAGTGTGAAACCTGGTGATGCTGGATTTGTCAGGACATAGGCAATGCCCAGCATCCCCCTCAGTGCTATGAGACTCCCGGTCAGTTTGGGAGAGGCAATGGGACTCTAGGTCTCCCGTCTCTGTCCTGTACTGCCCAACTGTCATTCCCAACTGCCATGGAATCTTAAGATACAAACATTCCATCTGACAGGTATCCAAACAGCAAGGTTAAGGCCTTGTTGGTGGTCTTTCCTCTTAGTCACCCCATGGGGCCAGCTCCACCATTTTGCCGTTTTTGCCGCCCAAGCGGCGGAAAAACAACAACAAAAAAACGTGATCGGCAGCACTTCGGCCGGAGCTCTACCGCCGCTGCTTCATCCTTCGGCGGCAATTCAACGGCAGGCCCTTCCCTCTAAGAGGCACTGAGGGACCCGCCGCCGAATTGCTACTGAAGAGCCGGATGTGCCGCCCCTTTCCGTTAGCTACCCCAAGCACCTGCTTGCTGCGCTGGTACCTGGAGCCGGCCCTGTCACCCCATGAGTCACCTGGGGCCAGTGCCAAGCAGGGGGCAAAAGGGAAGGGAAGTACCATCATTGAGGCCTGAATCACTCTCTTCCACTGAAATGCTCATTAAGGGAGATGGGGCAGTAAATACCATCAGAGAGAGGACAGACATTTTGCCTCTCCCCCAATCATGGACCATCCAGAGTTCTATCCCAGAGTTCATGTATCCTGTGGGATCAGTGGGAGACTAGGAGTATGGGTTATTCATAGTGTGTCACAAGGCCAGCACCAGGAACTCCTGCCCTCCCATGGCTCCCTGACAATGTAGCTGTGTTGTCAGGTCTTTCCTTAGCCATTGTTGTCTAGAAGCCCACTGTGGGTAAAGTGGTTTTCCTAGCACAAAGGGAGCTATATAAGAGAAAATGCTGTCCTAATATGCATGTCCACAAGTCTGGGGCTAGTGGGAAGTGTGTATGTCCCATTCGGGTAGCGTATGTCCCCTTTTCACATTAGCTCATCCTCACCCTGGCCACAGTTTACTAATCCTGGGCTCTCTGTTGGGTCCAACACAAGGGGGCAAAGTGCTGCAGAGGCAGCTGACCCCTTTCCCACAGCAAGGGAGACTCTCCATACAGCTAACATTGGCTGCCTGATCTGGTTCCTGGAAGGACCCGCATACCCCATGGATAAATACAGTCTTGCTGGCATTTGATTTCACACTAGGGGCCTTGTCTCTGTCCCAGCCCAGCCCTCACTAACCCTCACTGGTGACTGTCCAGAATATTTTCCTTTGGGCTCCCAACTGGAGGACGCTAAAGTTGGTTCCTTTTATTCACAGTTCTTTATTTCCCTTTTTTAATTCAAAGGCACACACATTTTTGAAAGATTCAGTGTAAGTTTACAATTTTAGAAAGCTCCCCAAAACAAATTAAGTTGATAAGCTATATAGTCATGGCTTTAAAAATACAATTTTATGAGCTGCAGGAGAGAATCCAATCCCAAATGGTGGGATTGCCTCTGAATTTGATTAAGCAAAAGATTTGAGGACATATAAGTGACAAAATACTTCTCAAGACACCCCAGGTGACGTGCTCCTGCCACTACTGCACCTTTCTGAAATAGCTGGGACATGCCACTCCCCAAACCAAAGCTTTATAGCTGCAGAATATTCTGCCACACATCACCCACACACCCTGCCTTCTAATCTGCAAATGGTGCTTGCATTATCCAGTGGGCTGTGACTGGCCAGGGTGACAAAAGACTTCTTAGCCCAGTCGCTGCCAACTGTTGCAGCCACCCTTCCACACTGCACTTTCTTTGTGAGTGATCACACCATGAACCTCCACAGAGCAACCAAACCCCAACATTTCAGTCAATTTGTTGCCAGTGCAGCTGTGGGGTTTTCACAGCCATTCTATTCACAAATGCAGAAGAGAGAGAAAATCTGCCATGGCTTTAGGCCATCTAAAGGGCAGGGGGGTGAAAATGACTCAGTTGAAAACATCTGTGTTCAATTTTTGTTAGGAAGGTTAAAAATATATTTAAGTTCCGCTTCATCCCTTTGCCCAGGGACTGCAAGAAGGAGAGAGCAGGTGCCCTAAGAAAGGAGGTGGCTAGAAAGTAGGGTGACCAGACAGCAAGTGTGAAAAATCGGGACGGGGGTGGAGGGTAATAGTAGCCTATATAAGAAAAAAACCCAAATATCAGGACAGTCCCTATAAAATCGGGACATCTGGTCACCCTAGATGAAGCAGCCCTGGGGGTAAGGGCAAGAGACAGGAACGAGAACTGCTGGGATGGGGTGGAGCAGTGGGGATACCCTGGCTGGGCAGGTGGAGCTTGCGCTGGGGGCGGGTCAGGGCGGTGTCCGCTCCTCTTCTCTCTCCTGCTCCGGGCGCTGTTTGCAGCTGCTCTCGCCGCGGGTGGTTTGCGGGGACTTCCAGGTACGTATCTCCGGGGGGCTGAGTCCGCCTCTGGCTGCCCCAGGGGCCGCTCGCCTTCCCCGCTGTGTCAGGCGCTGCCGAAGATTGGGGTGGAGGGAGCGATTGCACTTTCCCTGCAGAGCTGCCCCAGGCCCCGTAGCCGCTGCTCGGTTCCTGCTGCGTGGGGGCAGTTTCTGGGTCTCCGCCCCTGTCCCGTCCCAGTCCGCCTGCACCAGCGGGTGAGAGTGAAATCTGTGCCGGGGGGCAGCCGATGACGCCCCCCCCCCCCCGAACTTCGGAAGTGTTTGGGGGAAAGCCAAGCCACACCCCTGCCTTTACAGAGCCCGAGATTTGACCCCACTGCTGGCCTAAATTAAACCTTATTCACCAGGTGTAGGTGTTTGTGTACTATGTGTCCTTAACCCTCTCTTGGATAGCCTTCAGGGGGTCTCAGATCTGTTAGCCTCTTCCCTTCTGGGCCACATACCTTCTCATTGGCAAGTGAATGGCAGCTCAGCAATTGTGTACATGGAACAATGTTAAGGGAGTGTTTAAATATGTATTTTAGCTTTTTTAATATGACCAGAGAGCTGGAAACAAGGAGGAACAGCCAGTGCTTTGTGATCAACCAGTTGGTCATAGATTACCACCAAGTGTTCTGTAAATTTAGGCCCCAAGCCCACAAGCAGCTTTGGAACCGCTGGACTATTCAGTTTCATTTTCAGGGCTAGCTTGCACAGCCTTGCTGTGTGGGACTTGCAAACACTGAAAGAGAAATACTTCCTGAATGCATTTGTAGTAACAGTAGATCTTATTTTTTTTAAATCCAGTTTTTAAAATAAAACCTACATTGAGGAAACAAGCTGCCTGACAGTGCTCTTTTAAAGAAACTGCTTAAAAACAGGATTTCGCATAGTGGAGGTGATCCTTCATGTGGGATTCACTGAATTTAACTGATCGCATTTGTCATTTGGTTTTCTAATGCTTGATAGTAGTTCAGCTAAGTAGACGAATGTATGACAGGGGATGGATCACTTGATGATTACCTGTTCTGTTCATTCCCTCTGGGGCACCTGGCATTGGCCACTGTCGGCAGACAGGATACTGGGCTAGATGGACCTTTGGTCTGACCCAGTATGGCAGTTCTTATGACCAAAAGGGTCCCAGGATTCCAGCCAGTAGATAGACAAGGCTAAAATCCACTGGCTTTGATAAAAATACAAAATAAAAATATGCAGTCTTAAGTAAATATAGACCAGATTTATTTATAAGAAACTTCAACTTCATATAGTTAAACTACGAAATTAAGTCATAAAAATCTCGAACTTCTTCTTGGGGTGATGCAGAATCTTGGAGGAACCTAGAAATGCCCAAAGAAAAGGTGAAAAGGTTGTTATGCTCTCCTGTGTGTGAATGGAATTTTACTGTAGGATGAAATAAGTGTGGTGAAAGAAACGGATATGTTTCAGCATTAGTCATGTGTATCTGAAGCAATATAAACAAACCAATGAACAAATTCAAAATTCCTATTAGAGTGAGGAACCAGTTAACTTAGGACTGAGTCCTGCAATCTTTACTCATGAGTAATTCTCCTGTAAGAAGTGCCATTGAAATCAATGGGGTTGTTCAGAAAGGTAAAGCTGTAAGGGTTAAGGACCCAAGATGTGTAACTCATTTCAAAAGATAGTCCACGTCCTGTCATAAAATGTTCCTGCCAATGGAGGTTACAGATTGTTTTGATTCAGACCACCAGGATTCAGTTAAGCCACTTTGAATCTAATTCAGCAAAGAAAACTCAATTTGCAGGAGGAGGTGAAATCCAAGTTAATAAACCTGGCTATCCCAGTCAGGGTAGAAGATGGTGGACAAGTGCACAAACCAGATCTGATAAGGGTGCGGGGAGGGAGAGGAGAGTCTGCCAACTGTTAAGACACTTTTCCAGATTTTTGTTTTTATAATATCAGGAAAGGCGGGAGGATTTCTTTTAAACAAAACATTGAGCTGAGCGAGTATGTTTAAATAGTGTGTCTGCCAAATGGAAAAATCCATGTAAGGTTCTGTCTTCAGACTCCAAAACTCTGTATTGTATTTGTGCTCTGACAGCATATAAAGTATGATCCAAAACTAACAGCTTTATAGTTTCCTGAGAGACTTTAGCTTATTTATTTTAATCCTTATAAACTTTTACCTTCGCTCTCAGTAAAAGGTGCTTTAAAAAAAATTCTGCCATGTTGTGTTTAAACATTGGATGGTTGATAACTTTGTTTTTTATGATCAGTAAATATAAATTAGCACAATGTCTTATTCTATTAATATCTGATTGTTTTTCAGGTTTTCAGTGAAACAATCAAATCATGGCATCCGTTTGGGTGAGTTTAAAAAAAAAAATTCTTAAAGATAACTTCTGGAAAGTCCTGTGATTTTTATTTCCCCTAAAAGTGAGGCAAACCTTCCACAAAAAGGGTATCACTGTGGAAAAGAAACACGATAAAACTTTTTCAAACACAGATGTTTCTCACTTCTAATGATCGCTAGAAGCTCAGTTAAAGCTTCTGGATATTTGTTGCTTTTGAAAAACAGGCCAGTTTTTATAGGCACCTAAATATGGATTTAGGATCCTACTTTAGGACCCCTATTTTTGAAAATCCTGGCCTAGATGCACACTTCACCTTTTTGATTTGTTTCCAGATCTGACACCCAGCACCCTTGAGAAATAGCTGTGAGGTGAAAGAACTCCCTCTTTTCCTTACAGAAGTATCCCTCTGTGCTTTTATGGATGTATAAAATAAATGCTGAGGAAGTTTGGGAAAGGAAATCTGCCTGGGAATTGTTTGGCGCAGACTATTGGGAATTAGGATTTCTGAGGTTCTGTTCAAGTCTTCCATTGACCCTGTGTGAACTTAAGCAAGTCTTACTTTCTAGTGTGCTTTGAATATAAGAACAATGGAAAGGTATCTCCATTTCTATAAACTTCATACACTATACACTTTCGCCTCATACAATACTTAGCTCTATCTACCCCAGGCCAGGTACTTGCAACTTTCTGCAAAAAGAACAGGAGTACTTGTGGCACCTTAGAGACTAACAAATTTATTGACAGGAACCAACGGGGTTGCTATTCTGTCCTGGAACAGCCCTGCTTCAGTTTTAAAAGATGTACATAACCACCTTCATCTGCACACTTTCTGAAGGGTCCCAAGTCCTTGCTTGGACCACCTGGATTCAGTGACATGTGAAAGCTGTTGTGTTCAGGCATTTTTACTGGTTTGAGCATGAGAGCAACTACTCCCACAGGGCGACTTGATCTGGGAGGGAGAAGTGCTATGCCATTGAATTAATGGCAGATAGAATTGAGACAGAACTTTTTATTTTGTTTTATTTAACTTAGAAACATTAAGTAGATTCATCTTACTGACCTAATGTAAGTGAACCCTGTTTGGAGACTACAGAGTTCTGTTTTATATAGATTCTTATACAGTCCTCTTCACTGTAAAGACCTGAACTCTGGTTCCTGCAGGTTTCCCTACTCCAGATGTACATAAATGACACAACTGTGCTGAAAGATTGCTGTAGAATAAGCTTTCAAACATAAATGGATTCACTGTCTCATGCATGCCACTGTTAGAAGAGCATATTTTATAATTGCAATACTAATCCAATGGCTGGAACTTGAGGCAAGACCAATTCAGACTGGAAATAAGGCATACATTAACAGTGAGGGTAATTAAATTGTTCCAATGGTTACCATGGGATGTGGTAGATTCTTAAAAATTGTCAGTGATGAAATCACAATTTGATGTTTTTCCTAAAAGATCTGCTCTCAAATAATTCCTAAGGTAGTTCTGTGGCCTGTGTTATACAGGAGATCAGACTAGATGATCACAACGGTCCCTTCTGGCCTTGGAATCTGTGACTCTAGCTGGAGGTGTGTTTCTGTTGACCAAGATGTCCTGGGAAGAGAACAATCAACTCCTACATCCTAGTCCTCCTCCTTCAGTAAATATTGACCCAGAAGAAGGCTCCAAACAATGGCATGAAAAGCAAACAGAAAAGAAAAGCATGTTAGATGTGGATTTCAAAGTGAGGAAAATGGTTTCAGCCAGAAACTTGGGGGAGAAACTTTGAGTTAAGGGAAAGTATTTCTAAATATGTCTGCAATGAGGATGAGAAGTGCTTAACCACTTATTCAGAACTAAATAGAAATGGAAGTAAACCTGGTTGATGCTATTCTATGCAATGACCATTTGAAAGAAGTAATTACACACTGCAGTGTAAATGAAGTAAAATCCTTGAAACAGAAAACTAACAAGAAAGAGTGTTAAATTATGGCTTAAAAGGGTTGTATGATAAAAGTTGTTAAAACCAGACAAATTCTTTCTTTTTAAGATGTTATTTATTAAGATGTTATTATAATATATTTATTATTTATTTATTAGTTATACAAAATGCTTCCAGCATCCATTTTTCTGGAGCTCTTCAGTCTCTGGGTATGAATCAACTGTGAAAATTCCTCCTCTGAAATTATACCACTTTTGTCTTTGTAGGCTCTTCATAAAAATATGAATTTTGGCTATTCCAAGCAAACTCTCTTCCTAAAGCTTTATGTAATATGATGAACCTGCCTACAGGGGTCACGAGGTAGCATTGCCTGTCTTTGAGATACTTCAGCTCTGTAGAGGACTTAATATCTCGTAACCATTCACTGCTAGCTCACTATTGCATAACTAGACTAGAGAGATGGTCCAAACCAAAATCCAGATTCAAACAGCTTGAGCTTTGGGAAAGTCCAGATCCAAACTTTAAGTCTGTCTTACTGCTAGTGATGAAATGTAGTTGTTTGGCCTGTGCAAAGGGGTGGCAATCCAGTTCCAACCTAGGTAATCACATCACATGTGGAAGCCTCATTAGCACTCAATGGAGGCCAAAGATTTGTTAAAATGGTATTTAGTTTGTGGAGTAAAAATTGACTTCCATCTCCATGTCTCTCCATAGCAACCAGTAGATCCTTTTGTCTTACCCTCGTCATCTGAT